AACGCTTTACCTCCTTCTACAAAATCGGTCAAAGGGACGGTATTGGCACTTATAATTTTGTTCTAAGGTATTATAAAGAAAGAATCTAATTTTTTTATTAGAAATTTTTGATATTATTACATATAACAAAAAAAGGAAATGAAAGTATTGCATTATTATTGTATTTAACGTATTTTTTATTTTCATCCGATTTTATAACTTGATATTGCAAGTGTGAAGCGTTATCAAGTCATCAATAAAAATTATCGGTGTCTTATCTACAGCACCCACGTTACGATTTTAGTCCTGTATAAATGTTGGTTTTGTTACCAGTGTTTTTGTATGGTAATGAAGCTTTCCTATTTCTACGATATCAGTACGATGTAAACTTAGTAACATCCAAACTTCTCTTTTATCCTGCCATTTGATACATAATAAAATTTCAGTCGATCGAAATAATATTTCTTCTTTTTGTAATTTGTTTGAAATAATTGGTACATTCTTTCAGTTTTTTCTTATGGTACCACAACTATTTGTCTAGTTAATGTGTTAAATAAAAGTGGAGTCGTGTAACAGTCATCAACAAATAAACTGTGACCTTTCCCGAGATAATCTTTCATTATAGTCATGACTATATTATCGGATTTTCCAAAATTTTCTTGAAATACAGAAAATTTTGTTTCCGAACCTGAATATATTAACATGTCTAAAATATACCCTAATTATACAGGGGTACTTTGAAAACAGTCTAATGGTTTTGACGATTTGTCTCAGGCTGCTTTGCATCCACAATCTTTATTATCAAAATTGTGTATTTTTGGAATTAAATTTTGATGCGACCAGCAGATATTCACAAATGTATCTGGCGATGTAAATTCATTGTCATTATTTTCTTGCAATTGTGGAACATCTTTTTCTCTATTTTCTGATTCTGAGCTTGAAGTGTAAGACGCTTCTTGTTTTTTGTCTAATTAAATTCTCTTCTTCAGAGGAAGAAAATATGTCGTCAGGAAGATCCATTTTTTTCTCTTCACTACTACTTAGGTACATACGTTTTCTTTTTTCTAATCAAATATTTTTAGAATGTACTATATTATTTAAAAAAATAACGAGTGGATAAATTCAATAACTAATCACAAAATGAAATAAATAAATACTTACATATGCAATAAAGAAACAGGTTTACATGAATCAATGCATGAAGCAATTATACGAGAACGTATGTACAAAGCGTTTAATTTACCCCCATAGAGTTAATTAAAAAAGGTGTTAGAAGTTATATCTCAAAGCTTTTTGGAGATTTAAATGTTTTTATTTTTAGTATGTACATTTACTCAATTTTTATTATATTTAATAAAATCTTGTTTTTTTTTTTTACAGCGAATTTCTACACTTATTACTATATGTTATTAATTATATTATTTTATTTATATAAAAAATTAAAATTGTAAACAGATAAGAGACTAGTAAATGTAATTTCCATCTACAAGCACTAAACTCTAACCTAGGCTAATCTAATCGTAGGAAGGGAAAACTTACAAAACGTATACACTGATAGTGGCGCTCCTCTATCTTGTTTTTAGTTTACATTTGTGCCATTCATGTCGCTGTAGTCAATCATTCTTCGAGTGAAGATTAGTGGACAATGTTTAATTTTAATCGAAGTTTAAAGCAATGGTGGAGGAATTTGTAACTATTTTTCGAAATATTTTTATGTATATACTTACCTTCTCTTAAATAGTTTGTTTTAGGTTCAGTAATAATTTGTTTAACGAGATTATGAATGTTGATGTAACATGAGTTAAAAATGTAGTAAAAATAAAATTTGTTCACACGAAACATTATTTCATATCGAACTAATAGAAACGTTTACTTCGATTTAAGTTAACGGGTAATTAAATCTGTACGTCGTTAGTTAATTTTAATAGTGTTTTTCGGTTTGTATTGAATTGTTACATTAACTTTAAAAATGGCGGCTCAAGGTTTACCGACGAAAATAAAAGAATTACGTTTACCAATTTCAAGAGTTAAAACGATAATGAAAAGTTCGCCTTACGTAGATACGGTTGGACAAGACGGATTATATTTGGTTACAAAAGCTACGGTAAATTTTTCATAACAAATAATCGAAAGTTTAAAAGATGCAAATATATTCGAGTATACGGTAGTTAACCCGACTTGCGTATTTTGCGGCGGGATTATTAAAAATATTGTTTATTTATATCATTTATTATCCTTTATTAAAGTTGTATACATTAATATTAAAATAATATTTAAAATGTATTGTTTATCAATTAATAATGTTTTAATTTTTTTAGGAATTATTTATTCATTACTTAACAACAGAGGCTCATATGCAAAATAATAAAGGAAATAATTTAGATTATAAACATTTGGCAGAGGTAGTGCAGACAAAACAAACATTGGAATTTCTACGTGAAATAATACCTCGGAAAATTACAGTAAGGCGATTCAAAGAAATGATGGCAGCCAAATCATCGACTAGTAGTTCTTCAGATGAAAGTAGCTCAGATTCAGACAGTGATAGTGAATCTGATACTGACTCTTGTTCTAATACCGACACAAAAGATGATAACGAAAATTCATCGACTAGTGAACATGAATTAGAAACTCAAGAAAATGGTAAAAATAGTTACAGTGATAAAAGTGATAGCGATGAGGAATCTAAGAGGTAGAAATAAGCAAATAGAGAATCTAATTCTATATTATATAATTTATAAATATTTTAGAAAATATTTTATCTATAATTTTATTTCTAAGACGTCTTAATAAAGAAATCATATTATATCTTTATGATTCTTATTCGTTAATAGATCTTATTATTTAAATTAATTATTGTAGTTAAAGATTAAAAATATGAAAATTCAGTTAGAGAGTCAAAAATTAGCGGAAAATATGAAATTATTTGTATTTTTACTCATACATACATTATTATTTCGATAATTTTTAGAAAACAAAATTTCTTTAAAAATAAATACATTTTATCATCTTTAAATTTCATACATTTCTAAAGAAAATTGTCATTTTTAATTTTTTTTATTTACGTTACAATAATGTCTCTTTTGTGTAATGTATTTATTTATTTTTAACAAATTGACAATTTTTCAATAATAAATTAAAAAGAAAGAAAAAAACATTATGCAATGTCTACATTGTCTTATATTTTGCTTTCTCTGTAATTTTGTTTCACTTATTGATATTATAATGCATTATTATTATTATAAATAATTTAAAAGTATATAAAATATTATAAGAGTGCCATCTAAATATTTTTTAATAACAACAAATAAAATTCTGATTTATAATTATTAGAATTACCACTGATGTATAAATACAAAATATTCTTGTTTAATTAACAATTTTACTCTTGATGTAATTTTTTGGGTTTAGGCATTGAGAATGCATCGTAACAATCTTCATTTAATTTAATTGCCAGAAAATAGATTTCGGCTAATGCAATTACCAATGCACATATTATACCTAGTAATAATCTAAACCCAAAATCTAAATTACCAACTATTAACTCTACTCCAAGAAAACCAAATGTGAATCCTGCTAGTACGGAGAAGATAAATTGTGCGACGGCAATTAATTGTTTATTTATTTGCTTCACTGTAAATAGAAAAGAAAATTGAATAAACATGTATTTGTAGATATAATATAGAATATCAATTAAAATATTATTATTTACTTTGATAGGCTATCGTATCTTCTGGTAATTCTTTACGCATTGTATCAACACTTTTGGTCATAGCTTTGTATTCTCTATCATTTTGTTGTGCCGTAAGTTTTTGTATCCTTGCTTCCAATTCAGGATTTCTAGGTGTAATTTTGGGCGTTGGTAATATTACGTCAACACCTTCTAAAATTTCATGTAAGTATACCTTTTGAGATGTAACTTTTCTATACTCTTCTAAATATTTATTTAACCAATTAATATCATTTAATTTCAATAGAACGTCATTGCACTTCTTCCTACTACTTTTCTTTAGAGTAGCGATACCAGGTGGAGCATTATCTACATCGGAAACGTTTTTCCAAACAAAGTCTATTAATTTTGTATTTGGTTTTAGGCATAAGGATGGATCATCAATAGTTTCTATAGGCATTTTTATATCTTCTAAAAATGATATAGATATTTTTTCAAAAAATAATGTTAATATTTTGATAATATTAAGTATTCATATATGTGGCACCGTTGTTACTATTCTAAGAATTTATTTGGAAGTAGTAAATGTGAAATATTGATCGAATCAAGGTGTAATGTGTAACTTTTTTTCTAAATCAATATAATATTCTTTGATTTCGTTTTCTTTGTCCTGAAAAGCTTTATCTACTTTTTGGCATTTGTCACTCATATCATTTATAAATTTTTCCCATTCTGCTTTACGAATTTCTCTGCTATGTTGCAACGCTAGATCCTGCAATATAGGATGATTAGTTTGAGAATATTTATCGTATAAGTGAAGTCTTATATATTGTTACATTTGAAGTACGTACACTGTCAAATTCTTCTTGTCTTTGAAGTACCCTTTCGCACATACTAAGCGCAACATCAATGTTTGCTTTTAAACTTGGTAAATGACAATCTCCAAGTTGCTCTGCACGTGGCAATTGATTTTGGTTTAGTTCCGTTGAATATTCAAGAATTTTGAAAAGTCTTTCCACTTCTCTATCGTTTCTCTTTTCCTAAATGAATATCAATTTGCAAATATTCTAATTTTTCATATTTTCATATGAATGATAAGGCTTTAAACCTTATCGTATAATTACTTCATTCATTTGTTAATATTACAATATTATAGTATATATGTATAAAGTAGACATATATAATAAAAAAAATTGTTTAGTAGTTACAAACTTTATTTAAATATATTATTATTACAAATATCAGGTTATAGTTACTAACGTAAAAAGAAAACTATATAAACCTTATACACTATTACATTAGGTCAATTTAAGAAGACAATTTATTAGATTTCATTTAGATAATAAAATGATTATTAATTATTGTTATAAAAGAATATTAAATTTACCTGGAATTCTCGTAGAAAGAAATTTACTTCACCTTGTATAAATGGACGATGCTCGAAAAGTCTACTCCAAATTTCTCCCGTGTCTACGAAAATGTTATCCCGAGTAATATCATTATAAGTATCTTTTATATAATAATATATATTATTAATTTTGAAATATTTTTCTTTTTAAATTTTCATATATGATTATATGTTCGCACCTTTGATAACGGACGCCATGCTGTTGCTGGAAACACTTCGTGAGCGTAACAAAAACGAGTTCAATCATATGATCAAGCATGGTTTATTGCGCAGGCGTCTATAGCTTCCTCTAATAATTGATTTTTTTAAACAAAACAAATTATTAGATAATAAATGAAATAACAATTGGAAAAATTTCTTTTAAGTATTCATCTTAATACAACTCATATTTTAAATGAAATTTTTATTTCAATAATTTATTCATTGATTATAATTCCATAGATTTACTCAAAAGTAAATTTATATTAATTATGATGAAATATCATCGTTGTTATTTTGTACAATATTTTTAAAAATTATGACGTACTACGTGTTTTATCAACATATTTAAATTAAATCTATTTTTTAAAGTGTTTTATTATTTACTTTTTTTGCAAATATTATAAAAATTCGCGCCTGTATGAATGCAACCCTCCAGAAACACTTTGAAAATGTTGCTTGCGAGCGCCATCTGTCGGGACAGATTTTTTTGCCCGAAAGATAGGCAACCCCTCATACATACGTGTATAAACAGTTTTGACTGCAAAAAAATCCGTCCCAGTAGATGGCGCTCGCAAGCAACATTTTTAAAGTGTGTCTGGAGGGTTGCATACGAACAGGCACTCATTTTTATAATTTAATAATTAAATAAATAATTACAAAAAAATTATAGTACAAATAATATTATAATAATATTATATAATAAATTATCCTTGAAACTTGTTTATTTGAAGGTTTCACTTTTAACTTGTGTGATATGTATACATGTTTTTTTTTTTTAAATATCCTTCTTATTTTTTTAATCGAATATATTTCATAAAGCTTCGACGTAATGTCTAGAATATTGTTGAACAAATTTAGTTTAGTATTACACGTGAATTACTGATTGTGAGAGAAGTAATTTGAGAAGAAAGGCATAGTGTTTCGTTGAATTTGAGATGTCAGGTATTATGATCAATAGGAGCTTTCGAACGTAATGACAAATATCGATTCGTGATTTTTTTTACGTTAGAAAAACGATATCATTTTATTACAAGATTTTGATTTATTTAATGATGAAGTAAGATTAGAGATCGTAAATTGGTGTATACATATAAGTAAATAAATTAAATTAAAACTAATGTATTAAATTAAAAAAGAAAGTAAAACTAATTTCATACCAAATTTGAAATAATTTGACTGTTTTACCTACCGTCAGTACATTTTATAGAAACTTATATTTTTACCATTCGTTGATTAAACGTAGTTACAAATGTAGTTTTTATTTTTATTTTTAAATACTCACAATATTTGATTTCATTTTTTAGATATTTATTATTTTAAATATAATATTCCATGAATTAAAAAAATAAATTGAGAAAATAAATATTCCATTGTGAAAGAAACAATAATTTCTAGTTAATTTATCTTTGTCATTATTTATATGTATACATTTAAGTGTATACACACAAGTATATACTAATTATTTACATACTACTTACATACTATATGTCTTTAGTTGCTTTTCTAGTTCATGTCAGAAGAGAATTCGTAACGTGTATAATCTTTCCAATTAATTCACTAGTTTCCTTTCTGTGTGACAAACGTGCCGTTACTCTACGTCTTGTGGATCTTCCAAAAGGAAACTAACTGCAGGAAGTTAGTTTAGTTTCCAATTCGACGAAAACCGCGAGAAACTGCAACGACGACTCGACGCCAAGTACTACGTGTCTGACTTATCGTCGATTTGATCACTTATCTATGTTCTCCAAGTAACAAGGGGTCTGATCAATGGTACATATAGGTATATACAAGTATACATATATATGTATAGGTAAATAAAATGTATCTATATTTTCCTGAAACATTTTTTCTAATTAATTTCTGTTTTTCCTGCTTTTTGAAAGTAATATAATATAAAAAAATTCTACACGTATTTAAGATCAAAAGATACCTTTAGAGTTGTTTGGAATATTTTTCAACTTTTTTAATAAATCTTTAGAAAGATATAAAAATCTATACTGATGAAGTATCGACAAAAGTCAGCGTAGGAGTTGAAGGAAAATGAGATAGGATCCTAATGCTAGATTACAGACAGTTTACCTACTAACGTATCGTGTAATCAAGTATTCTGAGGTTCACAGTGAAGCATCACAAGCAACCTGGATGGCGTACACCTAAGTAAGCATACATTACGTAAATAATTTCAGTCGCAATACGATAATAATCAATACTCACGCGTTATGGCGCCTACATATATGTATATGCATATTTTATTAGCTTGTACCGAGAGATATGTCTGGCATTTGCTGATTTATCCGTTTACACGTTGAGTTGAAATTAGATTATGTTGTATGATGGAATCTACCTTTGAACATTCGTTTTAATCATTTCATACTTTTAAGTACATGAGTAATGCAACATTGTTCCAATTCAATTGTACGGAATATAATAAAAAATATATATTTCAGATGAAAAAAATTTCTATTTAAAATCTAAATAAATGAAGCCTTTCCTTTGAGATTTGTACCGGTTAATAACGAATTGGACAATAATTTCAAAGTCTCGGTCAAAGTCAGATAATAATGGATGCTTTTGAACGGAAAAAGGGATTAAAATAAATCGTGAAATGGAAGAGAAGAAAAAGATAATGAAGAACCGTGGAAAAGAATACGTAAAATTAAACCGAGATTTTGGAAAGAGAACGGAGAAGTAAGAGTAGAAAGGTAATTAAGCAGTTTCGTTCGATAAATGATGAAAAGTCGAAAACAATAATGAGATATTAAAAGACGATGATCATTTATACATATATAAATATATATATGTATTTGTTTATTCATTTATTTATTTATTCACATTTATTTATTATATGAAATTATATGCATGTATTGTAATGGTTTATACGGTTTGGCTGGCGACAGACAAATTCAATTTTAAATTGTTTCGTTCAAGAGGATAGAAAAGCTTAATAGGTATTGAAAATTGTTGAATAAAATTAGTTGTGCTCTAATGATTTACAACCTGATATTGAAATTACTAAATATACATATTCGGATAATTAAATGCAATTTACGTCGAGTTAATTAATATTTGTTTCATTAATTTTTTTAACATTTTATAATAACTCTCATTATTCTAATATCATTAATAATAATGACGACAATTATTATTATATAGTTATCGTTCGTGTTTTATTTGTAGATGCAATTATTACTGATTATTTTAATGAGGTGTGTCAGGACGTAATTGAGTTTACTATTTGCAATGATTTCGAGTTTCTAAATTAACTCAATTATTATCTGTTTTTCTTTCTTTCAATAAATCTTTAGTTTTCTTTTTCGGATTTGAACTTACTAACGTAATTTTGATTTAACAAAGAATATTCGTAGTCATATCTTGTTATGAGAAGTTCAATCGTTAGTTGTATTTTAAACGCAGAAACTTTAGAATTCTGTTTTAAAATTGGTTTGCTCGAGTAAAATAGTAAGCGGATTTTTGATTAAATATAGATAGAGAAAGTACTGTGAAAGTGGGAGAAAAAGAAAGGAAAAGAAAGATGGAGAGAAAAACAGACAGACAGACAAATAGGAAAAGATAAGATTTGTGAGCAACGAACTTACTTTAGCGTATATTATAATATCGTTATTTTATTTCAATTATTCTTTCATTAAATAAAGCATCAAGAAATGTTTTTTCATTGAGTTTAGGAAACTTTATTTTTATTTGCATTTAAACTTATTACATTATGCCAACGTTAAAAAGAGAAAGAGAGAGAGAGAGAGAGAGAGAGAGAGAAAGAGAGAGAAAGAGAAAGAAAGAGAAATATAAAGAGAGAAAAAGAAAAAGAGGATATACAAGACTTTATCATGTTTTCCATAAGGATGTGAGTTGTTTGTGTGCATACGTTAGGATAGATTTTCTTGTAAAACGATGTAGAAAATGGAAAATGAAAATATATAGAAAGATTAAGTTGAAGTTTTGTACATAAAGAAAACAAGACTATAGAGCGAAGGGAAAAATATTTCAATTATGATCAAAGTAGAGGAGCAAATGAATATGGTATATAAGTCATAATAAAATTTCTGACGTACATATCGTTAATCTTTATGAGAAAATTTACTATTATTCATAGCTTAATAGGTCTGTAGTAGGCTGATAATAAGGTTGGTTGCACGAACTTCGGCTCTGTGGATTTCATGTTAGGGGATTTCCCATGGCAATATCCTCTTTTCTCATACTGCAGAGAAAGCGAACAGCTTCTTCGTTGCCGGTCTTAAGCCGATCTGAACATACGTAAGCTTTTACATACGGTACGTGTATATATATATATATGTATATATGTATATATGTATATATATATTCATAGTCAGATACGATGTGTTTGGGATTCGCACATGTTACGTGTCAAGCCTAATGTAAACTCCTTGCAATTGTGTACTCGATATCATTGATATCATAGCCACCTGACTTATGGATTAGAATATATGGACCTTTCAAAACCTATCAATATAGTTTATATTATATAATATTTCTATGAATAGTCACGTTTATAATTAACGCAGAATCATATCAATGTAATCGTAGATGTTATTTTTTTCTTTTAAACACATTATTTATATCGGTAATCGATTAATATTTACACTGGCAGAGTTTATTAATTAGTAGCTTAAAAATAGGCTGTTCGTTAATTACGTTTATCGACTCTGTTGGTTAATTAATGAATTGACTATATTTGTTATTTTTTTTTTTTTTAATTGGACTTTGTTATTTAAAATTTAAAAAGAGATAGAATAATATATATGGATAAGATTTAAAAAGAATTATTTATTATTTCAGATTACGCATAGAAGCTTTGTCGTTTTATTGCTCAATAAAGTGATTTTCTTGCATACGATTTTCAACATGCGCTTTTGGATGAATGTAGTAAAGAAAAATGATAAAAGAAGACATGAATGTTCTTAGACACTAAACAGAAACCACATATGACTCTCCATTATTTATCACAAATAATTTGATCTACACGAACATACTATTCTTTTGATTTCTGAATTTTGATGATCTGCTGTTTAACAAAATTAGATTCTGACTAAATTCTTTCTTATTTTTT